GCCCGTTCGCGCAGCCCGCTCGCCGGCGCCTGGCCCTCACGATGATGAAGAAGAAGAAGTTTAAGTTTAAGGTGGACTTCGAGCTGGAGGAGCTCTCCTCCGTGCCCTTCGTCAACGGGGTCCTCTTCTGCAAGATGCGGCTGCTGGACGGCGGCAGCTTCACCGCCGAGTCCTCCAGGTAACGAGTCTCGGGAGCCGCTCGCCCGCGCCCGCGCGCAGGCAGGGGGCTTGTCGCGCGCTCAGCATCGCTTTCCTTGCTTGCGCCCTCTCTGCTCTGTCGAGCCGCCAGCCCGGTGAGCTCATCGTCCTCCAGGGACGAGTCAGAACTCGGTCAGGGCATCGGAAGAACGGCAGCCAGTGCTTCGCCGTGGGTTGGTCTGTTTGGCCTGGACTCCGGCGCTCCTGGCTCCAGGTGGCCCCTGTGTCTGCTTTCCTCCCGCCTCTCCAGGACCGGGAGTGATGGAGACACACAGGGACACAGAGAAAGGATGCGTCTGGTTTCTCCGAAGACATCCTTTTTTTTTTTTTTTTCCAAAATACAAAGTAGATCTTAAAGCTTTGAGAAGCAAAAATGACCCAAACTGTTCCAGTTTCCAAGAATGCCCACTCGGAACTGCCTGTGGTTGACATAATTTCTGTGACTCTGCTGTGACTTAGGGTGGCCCAGGAGAGGGTTTGGGATACGCCTGGTCGGGCTTGTCTTGAGTCAAGTGTTCCTGGCTACAAGACTGTAGTCTTTGGCTCTCCAGTTAATGCGCTTATATTCTCAATTACCCATCTTCAAGTGGCCACTAGTGGGTCTCAGAGTGGTGGACTTAGAATCAAGAGAGACCAGACCCTGTCCTCATTTTGAAATAAGGCACTGTGAGAGAATCTGTCAGCAGGTGACAGAATGCAGCCTTGTGTGGCAGGATTCCTCGAGTGATGTCAGGGCAGCCCAAAGATTGATAAATTTCTCCTTAGGTTTTTTTTCTCTACAAGAAGGCAGAAAATTGGAAGACGTTTTGGAATGAACTTTTAACTTCTTAAAGTCGAGAAGGGCTAATAGCCAACGTATATTTTCTTGCTATATACTTAATTTTTACACTAAAAATATTCTTTGTATCTGCCATCCCATTAATAATGTAAAGGAAATAATGTTAATGGGTTGTGGGATGGAAGCCAGAAAATTGCCCTCTGTAGCAGTAATGAAGCCTATTGAAGCCAGAAAACGCCAAATTGCCTAAATGAACGGATTGTGAAGCAAGCGCTATTGATCCTCAAAATTACAAAGAAAAGAAAAAGTCCACTGAGGATAATTTTTAATATTAAACTGTGATGACAAACCTGTAGGCATTCAGCTAATTGATTATACTACAACCATCTTAACACTACTGTCTGAGGACAATGAACTGTAAATATATATATATATATATTCATATATAGTTATATATTCATATATAGTTATATATTCATATATAGTTATATATTCATATATATATTCATATATATCATATATATATATGAACACCACATGGGGTTCAAGTGACAGCCTTACCCTGAAGCCTAGACAGAGTTTTTCTACAGGGTTCCTACCCCCTCCCTCAACCTGGAGCTGATAGTCTGGGGCTTCTGACCCAAGTGGTGACGCCTGGTGGTCAGAACTTGCTCTACCACCTTCTTTCTCTTCTACTTCCTTTCCTGCCTGGAGCACAAGCCAAATCATCAATCAGAAGCAGTCTCTCCACCCACCCACCCCAGTAAACATGTCCATTGGGTCTTTTAAACGTGCTTTCTTATTTACTACCCTAAACGGGGCTATGAGGTAAAGGTTCATATTATGCAAGTAAATGAACTGAGTCTTAGGAGACATACCTTCCCAAGATCCCCTCCTATCTGATCACATAATGCCAAGATTTTGGCCCAGGTCTAGCTAGCTTCAAACAGCATCATTCCAGACAGAAGGAAAAGGTGTGTGCTGTTGAAGAGATTCTGAATTGGTGACTGCCTAATAATTTAAGGTTGCAAAGGCTATAATTTGATTTCTCCTCAGCAGGGGGGGAAAAATCAAGTAGCTCATGTTAAACAAACCCTTCCTCTAACTAAAATCTGGTTTTATTGAGAGAAAAAAGGTACTATAACTAGCCAAAATAATAATAATAATATAGTCTGAAGGGACTGATTTGTGGTAAGAGTGTGTGCTTTTGAAGCTGGTCGGTGAGTTCGTGTGTAAAAGCTAAGAAGAGCAATAGCTTAGAATGAGGTGAGTCTAAGAAAAATCTCAGTTCTGCAGCGGGAACCTACATTGTTTTACTGAGGTGTCCATGGCGAAAATTTGGAAAACTTAACAGTCAGTGACTTGAGGTTGTCTTGAGGATTTCCTAGGATAGTGAGCCTGTAATACTTACAGCACTTTGGCATTTGGTGATGAACAAGTTTACCTAGATGTTCTACAAAGTCCTTTATTCTACCAAAGTGTTGGCTTAAGGGTTATCCGTTGAGCAAGGAATAGTGGTGCAAACCTCAGTCCCAGAACTTGGGAAGCAGAAGGAGGCTAGCCTGGACTACATGAGTCAACCGTAAAACATGCATGTATACACACACACACACCAATAAAAGAAAGATACCTGGATTTACTGGGAGAAATAAAAAACCTGAAATAATTAAAATTATATAGCTTAAATAGCAAGTGCTAGTCTAGATAATCCATCTTTAAAATGCTAGATTTTAACTTGAGAGTTACTCCAGGGGATCCTTATGAATCAGAAGTGGTCAGCACTAACATTTCTCCCCTAGCAATATGGAATGACTTCTGTGCAAAAGAATTAAAGCAGGCCGAAGACTGCCATCTTAGAAAGGCCTGCTGACAAGATTGCCTTGGATGATGAAGGTGGCTTACTGTGCTTCAACTGTTTGTATAAGCCATGTGGTTCATGCTAAATGCCTTCTGAGAGTTTGGATCCCACTAAACAAAAGCCAGTTGCCTAAACCACGAATCCTAGTTAAACCTTCTGTGATTCCTTGATAGACAGCACATTGCCCCAATCCAGTGCTAGAGAAACTGTGAGCTGATTCTGCTGTGCATCTCAGAACTATAACATCTTCAGCAATGAGTACAGGTGTATGCTGAGTCCATTAAGTTCTAAGAATTGCCAAACCCTAGGCATGTAGGGACCCAATACAAAATAATATCTGTGCTGTGAGAGAAGAGTTTAGTGGACGCACAGATGGCTACACACCAAACACACACACACAACTTGGCTTTGTTCAAAAAGGAAACCTGCGGATGATTCGTTGCTCACCAAATGTCATTTAAGCACTTAGCGGGCTTCTAGCTCTCTGGAGGGATGTAAGAAGCAAAGCAAACACACGGGTCCCTGAGGGAATTACCTCTGATTAATGAAATTAGATCATAGATGTCTGCTGCCTGGTCAGTGGGAGAAGACATATGGCTTACTACTTCATCAGTGGGTCAGGCGCTTTGTGAGTTTTGAAAAGGAAGAGGCCTTTATTTACCGCTGGGATGGTTGCTGAAGCCTGCATTCGGATTTGAGCTGAACTTGCCAAGAGGGTGGATTTGCACTGGGAAGAGAGTGAGGTGGGAGGACAGCTTGAACAAGCCATTAATAGAGTTGGTGTTACAGCAGCCTGATGGCAGAGAGTCCCCATGAACAGGCAGCAGATAATATTAGAAAGGGGCTTTGAATGACATTGTAGGGTTTGAGTTCCCTGATCAAAGGATAGAATTCAATCCTGGGTTCTTGAGCTTCGTTGTAACGTGAGTAAAGTGGAATTTAAGCTGGCTGGCGGCCTGCTGCTGTTTGGATTTGAGTGGGAATAGATAGATTAGAGATGGAGAGACAAATGAGAGGCTGTGAAAACAACACGGTCTCGTGAGAACCTGAACTCGGGCTTTTGGGTCAGTAACTGACAGGCGATAATGCAGCGGCCTCCTTTTAGCATTGGCAGCAGTAAGGAAGTCAAGGAAATGCCCTTTTGGTTTTGTTTGAGAGGAACATTGTACATGGCTGTAGAGAAGTGGTTCTCAACCTGTGGGTCAAGACTCTCACCAGGGCTGCGTATCAGATAGCCTGCCTATGGGATATTTACATTACAATTCATAACAGTGGCAAAATTACAGTTACAAAACAGCAACAAGCCCCTCCCCCAGCCAGGATTTCTCTGTGTGGCCTGGCTGTCCTAGAACTCACTGTGTAGACCAGACCAGACTTGAACTCGGGGCTTTGCCTGATTCCGCTTCCCAACTGCTAGCTTTAAAAGGTGTGTTCCATCACACCCTGCACAATTAAATCATTTTATGGTTGGGGTCACTACGAGATGAGGAACTGCATTCAAAGGTCCTGGCATGAGGAAAGTTGAGAACCACAACTGTAGAAGATTTGAAGATCTAAGTTGTGTGCTTAATATAGTACATCTAAGGTGACAGTGGGCCTGAAGACACAGTTATTTTGGTACGTGAATTTCTTATATCCTTGGCCTCTGGGGGCTGTATAAACCTATTTATCCCACTTAGAATATCCTTACTCTGTTTTGCTTGTTTATAGATAATTAGTGAAAAATGAATTTTAGAAGGATATAGATTCTCTTGTGAAAGTTTAATCAGTAAAAAAAAAAAAAGTTGGGGGAAAAAGCATAAAGGTCTTGATTTTGAATGAGGGATACTAAAAATGGTTAAGGCAAGTGATTAGGTCTCACCACAGTTAAGAAAACATGTGGAAAATACATCAAACTTATGAGCACTCTACTCAGTTGAAGCCAAGTGGCTGCCTAATAAAACATTTTTGAAGACCTTTCAGAAAAACAGAACATTGTATTATTTGAATCTTTCCAAAACTCCCCTTAGTAAAGCGTGTAAATCACTTTTAAAGCTCACTGGAGTTATGAGGACATGTTTAATTCTAGTCTGTTTAAACAAAGGAATGATGGGAGGGGAATTTCCCTACATGCCTGTGATTTCCCAGTTTGCCTTGTGCGTGTGTGTGTGTGTGTGTGTGTGTGTGTGTGTGTGTGTGTGTGTTGGTAACTTAGTAAGTTTCCGAGTTTCACATGAGCTTATGGAAAAACACATGTGAACTCAGGGAGTATCCGGGAAGCTGATGAACACATCTGTGTATCAGATCTCTGGCTTTGTAAACAAGCTAAAAGGATCTCTTTTTTTCGTTGTGCCAGAGAACATCT